TAATTGTTTAGCTGTTGAGAGACCTGTTTAGCTCTCTCCCTCTATGCAATTGCTAGAGAAAATAAAGTATCTGACTTGCTGTACCCAAACAAAAAGTGAGAACTCTGTTATTCTCTGACACAGGGCACGACAGACGATGGACTCCCCGTCTCCCGGTTGGACCTGCTGCAATGGCATGGGAGAGCCCGACTGAGCTGTCCCCAGTGTGGGAAAGATCCCACAGGCCTGGCTGGCAGAGCCGCTGCCCACATGCCAGGAGGGCTCGGCTCCAATCCCAGTGTCACTGCTGTGCAGGCGGAGCACAGATGGGGGTCACACCCATCCCTCCTGGCCCCCCAGGGATGCAGTGAAAGGGACCAGCCCCATTGTTCCAGCTGGGCACGGGAGTGCTCACCCTGCAGATCTGGCCGATGCGGGCGAAGCTGGCCTTGCCCAGCCCCTGCTGCCCCTCCACCGCCGTCTCGCGGAAGAAGAAGTAGATCTTGTCGTCGTCCGGGTTCTCGCTCTCCGGGATCCAGAACACGTCCACAAACTTGGGCTCTGGGCCAGGCAGAACACGGGGAGGAAGGGAGGGTCAGGCAGGGGGAGGCATGAGGTGAGCACCGGGCACCCATGCCATCCAGCACAGGCACTCAGGCAGAAAGTAGAGCGAGTAACAGCTGCACTCGGCCCATGTCAGGGCTGCCAGCGCTTTGCTATCTGACCTGCGTGCTAACCCATGCAGGGGCAGTGCCCTACCCCCGACTGACACGGGGGAAACCGAGGTACAAAGAAGGGATGTTACCCAGTGAATCAGTGGCACAGCAGGGAATAGGACCCAGGAGTCCTGACACCCACTGCTCTAGCCCCCAGCCCTTCCTTCCCCAGAAGTGAAGCTAACAGCCTGAACCAGGCCAGGGGTCATGTGGGCTCTGCACTGCCAGGAGATCAGCCGGGCCCTGCCCCGACCATCAGGGAGGACCCGCAGCCAGTGCCGGAGGGGCGCTTTGCTGCCTGGAACCGGCTCGGCAGTGAATGGGGCCTGGGGTCGGAGCTGCAACCCAGGTCCCCTGCCTGTCTGGGGAGGTTCGGGGGAGGCAGGAGGGCACCCACCCACTCCCCCACGTGGTACCTGCCCTGCCACAGGCAGCTCCGTGCTCCCCCAGTACCCCCCTCGTCCGTGCCGCATCAGGGACCTGCCCAGGCCAGCAAGACCAGGCTGGGATTGGGCACACCTGGCTGTGCTCATCCCCCTGCCCCTGGAACGTGCAGCTGCGGGGATCCCCATGCCCATGCAGCCAGACCACCCATCACTCCACAACTGCCCCCTGCTCAAAGGAGGCCCTGCAGTCACACGCCACTAGGTGGCAGCCTAGATCCACCAGCTACCACAGGGAGAGTCAGCCCAGCCATGAGAGCGGGTCCAGGGCCAGAGAGAAGGGAGACTGGGTACGGGGCAGTCGGGTGATGCTCCTCAGTCCCGACCCACAGCCCCCCAACCTCCTGCTATCCCAGCCCCCCCAAAGCTATACCCCCTGCTAGACCAGCCCTGGGCTCCCCCAGCCAGCTGTGCTGGTGCCCCTCACTCCCGACCTGCAGCCCCTGCTAGCCCAGCCCTGGGTCCCCCCCACAACCCTGCCCAGCAATTCCTGCACACAGTCCAGCCCAGCTTTGGTGCCCAGGAGGCAGAGCCTGGGGGTGCCAGGTCACTGCACTGTCTCAGGGTGACCTCGAGCAGCTCCCGGGGGGGCTGCTATTCTTGGTGCTGCCCATTTCCAGGCGATGGCACCTTCCAGGCAGAATAAGGCTGGGGCTTAGCATGGGCAGGGTCCACAGGCAGCCCCAGCCTGGCAGCCCCCCCAGCCGCTGTCTGCAGGGATGGGGATGCTGGGAGAGAGCAGAGAGTGAATCCCAGGGCCAGGCATTGCCAGGTGAAGGGTGGGAATGAGGCCCCTCCAAGGGTGAATGAGGCCAGAAGCTCTTGCAGGACGACGGGTTCATTATCCCAGCATGACAGATGGTGGGATTCAGAGGGCGAGTCAGCGAAATGCCAAAGGGGATGAATGGAGCACAGATGCCCACAGGATTAGGGCCAGGAAAGCTTCTTCATCAGTCCTGCTGGTGTCCCTCACTCCCGACCCGCAGCCCCTGCTATTCTAGCCCTGGGATCCCCGCCCCCCACAGCCCTGCCAGTGCCCCTCAGCCTTTGGGAAATGACCCCCAATCAGGGGCATGCACAAGAGGGGACAAGCAGGGGCACAGGGCCTCCTCACCCCCCCTCCCCAGAAACCCCCCTAGCCCTGGCACTGACCGTTGAGCCAGCGGGAGTCGTGCTGCTCGGTACGGATGGACGGGCGCAGCCCCAGGCTGCGGAAGATGGTGAAGTCGCGGCCCATCAGGTCGGTGGCCACCCCGGAATACAGCTCCTCCCCTGAGGCAGGGATCAGAGGGGTCGGGGGCATTAAACACGGGCCTGCCCAGTCCTCCCTGCCTACCTCCCCCTGCCTCATCGCCAGGGGAAAGGCCGGGTGCCCTGCTCCTCAGACAGCCAAGGGATCCGCTCCACGCCCCTCACCAGACGTCACTGGAGGGGGGGAATTTACAGGGACACCCCCGGGGGATCAGGGGGTTAACAAGTGAATCCCCGGCTCCCACCACCTGGGCCCCGCTCACCCCTCCTCCCCATCTCAGTGGTGAGTTCAAGGCTCAGATTCCTCTGCTGGGACAGTCCCCAGTGACCCACAGGGGCTCTTGTGTACTGGCTCTGCGCAGAACTAGCATCTTGCCCTCAGCACCCCCCAGAGGGCACAAGCCAGCAGTGTCTCAGCCAGCCCAGCCTCTTCCCTCAGGGGGCGCCGTGGGGAGTTGGATAGGAGTGCTGGCTGTGGGGGGAGCTCCCAGCTACTCCAGACCCAGCCTCTCCCAGTAGGGGGTGCTGTGGGGAGGGGCAGGGGCAGGGGCATGTGGCAGTCAGCAGGGCCCAGCAGACAATACAGAGGGCCCCACGTGCCAGCTCAGGGCCGTCGCTCTTACCCACGAGCACCGAGGCAGCCACGTGCCGCGGGTCGTACGGGCTCTTCCCTTTGCCGTCCTCCATGGCTGCAGGATCCAGCTTAAAGACGGGTTCCTAGAGAGAGGGAACGAAGCACGTCAGCAATGGCGGGGGTGTCTGGGGCCAAGGCTGCTAATAGAACCATCCCCCCCCATCCCCTGCCCCCCGATTTAGTTGGGGATTGGTCCTGCTTCGAGCAGGGGGTTGGACTAGATGACCTCCTGCAGTCCCTTCCAATCTTGGTATTCTATGATTCTATAAGAGGGAGTGGTCCCATCTGCCCCAGATGGGGCCCCTGCAGGGCAGGTGGCGGGCAGGGGATACCCTGGGCGTTGGGGCTAGGAGACCATCTCTCATTTGTCCCTTAGTAGGGGTGCCGCCGGGCCTACCTCCATGCGCTGGCCGACCTCCACGAAGGCGCAGGTGGGGTGGAAGGCGCCCGTGCCGCAGGCGTATAGGTGGGTGCGGTTGTACAGGTGCAGGATCTTGATGAAGTTCATACACTCGGCCTGAAAGACACGGAGTGAAGGGAGCTGGGGGTGAGTGAGGCGGGGCCTGGCAGGGGGCATGTTCCCCCCTGCGCCCCCATAGCTGGCACCACCCTGGTCAACACTTTGCCCAGCTCTCTGTGGGCTCCCCTCTATCTGTCCTGGGCAGGGCAGCGGCTGCCCCGGACCCACAGCTCCCCCAGGATACAGCTCACAGGGCTGAGACCAAAGCAACAGTCCCCTTGGAGTTTCTGGGTGGGTTTGGCCAACAACACATCTGAGCCCAGGGCTCCAGCTGGTCCCCTGGCCCCTCTGCTCTGGCCCCTGGAATGCAAGGTTCAAGCCTTGGGTTGGAGTTGGAGGCTGGGACGCTGGCTCCCTGCTACGCCTCTGGGGGTGCTAGTGTCCCTGGCCAACAGGCTCTCATTGCAGCACGGCCCAAAGACTGCTCACTCCCCTGTACCTGTCTCAGAAACACACTGAATTCCCAGTAGCCCCAGCCTCTCCTAGCAGGGGGCACTGTGGTGAGTGGGGCAGGAGTGCTGGCTGTGGGGGAGCTCCTGCCCCACACAAGGAGCCCCCAGGCCAAGGCCTACCACGCTGACTCATACACCAGGGCAGCTGGCGATGGGAATCCAGGCTGATCCTTCCCCCCCTGCGGTTGCCCTGAGCCATTCCAGGGGCACAAAGATCCAGGCCGGTCCCCCCCCCCCAGGTTCCCCCAGAGCTGCCTCCAGGGCAGAGGGGCCCCGCCCATATCCCTGCCCGGGGCAGTGATTCACTGTTCTCAGGTGTGTGGACAGGGATGTTCCATCCCAGCCCTGAGTCACCTGGGCCTGGTGCGCGGCAGGGCCTGTCCGTCTGGAATTGCCTTCTCAGGCAGGTGCTGCCCCGGCTGGGGTGTGACCTCAACCCCCACTAGCCAGGCCAGTGGGCTGGGGAGAAGGGAACCCCAAGAGCAGTGGCACTGCTCCTGGAGCAGGGGGGGCACCAGGTGCCGCCCCAGTCCCTGCCGCTTGGGTAATAGCTGCATGCGGGACAGATCAGGGCACCAGGCCATGGCACAGATGGTGCCACCCAGGGCCAAGACACGCATGCCTGAGCTTCCGCTCGTTGCTACTTATCATGGCCTTGTTGGTGCCGTGGGCAGGGCCGTGGTGCCAGGAGAGGGCGCTATCAGGAGATCCTCACATGACTCAGAGTGAGGGTCCGACAGCTCCTGGAAAATGAGTAACACTAATGAGAACCTAAGGGAAGGGAATGGCCGGGCTGGGCACCCCAACCCTACACTTCCAGCCTGGAGTTGAGCTGCCACAGTATTCTTGCCGGCAAGTTAAAGAAGTATGGACTGGATGAAAGGACTATAAGGTGGATAGAAAGCTGGCTAGATCGTCGGGCTCAATGGGTAGTGATCAATGTCTCCATGTCTAGTTGGCAGCTGGTATCAAGCAGAGTGCCCCAAGGATCGGTCCTGGGGCCGGTTTTGTTCAATATCTTCATTAATGATCTGGAGGATGGCATGGACTGCACTCTCAGCAAGTTTGCAGATGACACTAAACTGGGAGGAGTGGTAGATACGCTGGAGGGTAGGGACAGGATACAGAGGGACCTAGACAAATTAGAGGATTGGGCCAAAAGAAACCTGATGAGGACAAGTGCAGAGTCCTGCACTTAGGACGGAAGAATCCCATTCACTGTTACAGACTAGGGACCGAATGGCTAGGCAGCAGTTCTGCAGAAAAGGACCTAGGGGTTACAGTGGACGAGAAGCTGGATATGAG